GGCGTGGTCTTGCCGGTGGGCGTGGCTCCGCAAAACCGAGGGCATAGTTTGTGAGGCTGGGCGTGGCTCCGCAGGACTGTGGGCATAGTCCGTGAGGGTGGGCGTGGCTCCGCAGGGCCGTGGGTGTGGTCTTGCCCGGTGGGCGTGGCTCCGCAGAACCGAGGACATAGTTTGTGGGGTGGGCGTGGCTCCGCAGGACTGTGGGCGTGGTCTTGCAAGGCGGGCATGGCTCAGCAGGACCCCGACTATATCACAGCATGCAGACTCCTCCATCCACCGAGGCAGGCTGACTCTAGTCAGCCCCTGTTGTCCACTGGCCCTGGCCTCGACTGCTGACGACCAAGGTTCTAGAGAAGCAGCGTCAGGGGTGCTCCTACTGAGGGTGGCTACCGCTGAAGAAAGTGGGCTTCAGGAAGGTTCTCGGAGAGGCCTGGCTCAGAAAGGTGTGGGCTAGGCACGGCTGTGGAACCAGGGTTCACAAGCAGCTGAACAGAACGTGCAGCAGTCAGAGCCTGGGCTGAGAAGCTTGCCTCCCTCCCCTAACCCTGGCCGGTGATGCTCCTCATGCCCATTGATGGTCGGGGGTTGGTACAAGGGTGACCGCTCCATTCTTAGCCACTGCGTCTCTGCTTTAGGAAAGAGCCATTTTCCCCTCAAGTGGAATCTAAGAATCTAAACTGCTTTCCGCTGCCTTTGCCAACAGACATGGAAATTGGTTGCAGCAGAGATGTTTCCCGTTCATCTTAACGGTTTTGGAGTGGCGTTGTATATTAATCCACAACTCCCACCAACCAGAACACTGCAGTCAAACACACAGCAAATTAAACTTTATTTCCCTCGTGATTTTGAATTTTGATACTTCCCAGTCTCTTTCCTGAGTGCAAACACTGTATTTGAACTTTACGAAAAAAACCACAAAAATCCCTTCTTCCTCTTGAAGACTAGACATACTGAATTACTGGAAAGCTTATAAATGCTCATTACCTGTGTTTCATGTCCTCCAGTCTAGGCTAGTTGGGGTTTATATGAGGATTGGGTAACAGGAAGCACTGGGGAGGAAAGAGCCTTTCTCCTTTTCATTTTCTGTTAATAAGAACCATCTGAAAGTAGCTCAGGGCACATGTTCAGTCTCCAGCCCTTATGCATCAGGCTTCTCAGATGCTGGACGGGAGCCGGATGGACGCATCTGCTGTGCTACCTGGCGTGGAACCCGCAGTGCTCGGCAGCCTCCTGGACTTCACAGTCACGCCGTGGAGGAACGTGACTGCCCTTGCTAGTGACCGCTGACCCGGCAGGTGCACTTCCTCCTCGGAAACCCAAAAGAAGCATGTTGCCAGCTGATGTGGAGGTCAGAGTCTCTTGTGCCATGGGTACCTGTTTTTACAGTTGAGCTGTCTGCGGTGTTGATTGAGCGACTAGTGAGGCGACGTGGATGGCCTCTGCTCCACTCAGGGATGAGGTCCACGCACCTCTTGGCCAGAGGAAGCCAAGAGGCAACAGGGCCGGCTCTGAGCTATGAGTGCAGCCTTGCCTGCCCCCCCCCCCCCCCCCCGCGAGCCTTCTTATTGCCATGCTTCTGGGACTGGAAAGCAGTCACCAAGCCCGCCTGCTCTTCTGCTCGTTGAATAAGGGCTTAGGGGTCGGCCCACGAGAACAGCTAATCTGATTATCCTCGCTGCTGGTGGAGTTTGTTATGAATCTAATTCCCGTGTGGAATGGCCCAGTTCCGGGCCACGTCTCACCCTGCCTGATGGAAGCGTCGCGAGGGCTCTGCGTTGGAGGGTTTTACTTTTCTTTTAACACTGTTTAGACACTAGGATGTTTTGAATTTGTTAAGGCCCAGATTTAAGCTTTAACTTTGAAGCAACCGCAAGGGGCGGGGCATTCAGACCCACTGAGGGTATAGCAGGACGACCTGAGACAGAGCTGGCCTTGAACCCTGCCCGGGCTGACGAGGCCAAAGGCCACCAGCACAGTTCCTTAAGCTTTCTTGTGCCTCACCAGGTACCGATGCTTCACAAGACGCGGTGAGCAATGGGACATCCGGAGAGTCACCCACTGCAGGTCCTCCCTCTGCCGGGAGCTTGCAGCTCTCTGATGCAAGCTCGCGGCTCTGTGCTGAGCGTTCAGAGGCCAGGAGCCCTGTGTTCCATGCACACAGCTGATGCTTAGCTGGGGAAGACCTGGCGTGCCCAGGCAGGCATCCTGCAGCCCCTGGGCTTATTCTGGAACACCGTAGGCCCTGCTGCTGCCTTGGCTCTTCAGCACTTGCTGTCCTGGCCCTGTCTTCTCTCCTCTGCCCCCTGCAGACCCCTGCTCAAACGCCATCTTAGTTGGGTGGGTTTTGCTCAACCCAGGAGCCCTCATCTGTCTCTCTCTGCCCCCGCCTCAGCATCACCACTGGGAGGGCCTTGATTCTTTCACTGCTCCACCCCTGTGCCTCCAGCTTGGCCTAGTAGGCATGGGGAAGATGGGTGCTCAGAACAGTTCACACCATGTACACGGCAGCCTGTGCAAAGGCCCCGCGGCCAGGAATGCACAAGGCACCTCAGAGACTGTTACGGTGACAAACACAGACTCCGAGATAAAGGCACCATGCTCATCACCTGCACATGGCCCCTGGACTGGGGTGGCAGCCTCCTGGGGCTGCTTCCCCTTTAGGTGCTTGGCAGGGGGTGTGGGGGTGGGGGGAGGGCCACCTCCCACTTACCTCTTCCAGAATGGGAAGCTGCTGGGACTCCTTGGCCTGTTCCTTCCCCTTACGCCGACAGCCTCTCCCACCTCCTCCTCTTCTCCGAGGCCATCACAGGGATGCGGGCCCCGGCGGTTCTGGGCTCCTCCAGGGCCGAATATCTTGCCTTCCCCGGAACTAACAAGTCAGACGCTCTTCTCAGAGCCCGGGGCTTGAACTGGCGCAGTGACACCCAGAAATGGAGCACAGAATCCCGAGGGACTGACAGCAAGGCAGGAGAGGACGTGTGGATCGGGACTGCACAAGGCCAGCAAGAGCCTGGAGCGGGAGTGGCATCTAGAGGGAGACGCTGTCGGGCTTCTTAACAGCATGGCGTTACCCCCCCCCCCATGCACGTGTGAGTGGTGCTCACTTTTGTACCATGCGTGCACACAGATACACTCAGGTGACAAATCTGACCTGGGATCTCGGTTCTGCGGTTCTCAGTGGCCTGGTGTTTTCCTGCGTTCTTGGACAGGGTCCACGGGACTCATTCTGTCATTCTGTTTCCCAGGAGACCTGTTAGGTGTCTCCAGGGGTGTCCGGGCACTCTGGGAAGGTCTGTCCCCTCGCTTTACCCCGACTCCGCCCCCAGGATGGTGTGCCTCCCCTCCCCCCCCACACACACTGGGCCCCTGGGAACTGAACTCGGCAGAGAGCAGCGTCAGGCAGCATTTCCAGGCCAGCAGACGCTCTGGGGTCAGTGCTGCACTGCGTGCTGTCCACCGCCTGCCTGCCTGCCTGCCCTGCGTGAGGAGCTGGCATCTTTATTGCATTTAATTTGAAGTGCTTTAAATGTAAGTGGCCACCTGACGCTGCTGGCCAACTCACTCATGGAACTGGGCCACGCCGGGGACGCCGGACCCGAGGACACGCACAGCACCGGGAAGGGACCGAGCAGCTGTGAGCTTCCCATCCGCGCTCAGGGTTTGGACAGGCCGCACAACGTCTCTGAACCCAGGTTTCAGGTTGATTATGGTCTCGGGGGCGCGGAGGCGACCCTCACGGGGACAGGGAGACCATTTTCCTCTCAGTTGCTTAGAACGGCTGCATACCGGCAAAACTCAGACCCATTTCTGTTTCTCTCACGGCTGACCCCCCCCCCACCCATGTGTTGCCACACGTGACACGGAACAGCCGTGAAGATCAGCGGGACGCAGTTCTGGGCCACGCGGTCTGAGTCACTCAGTGAACATGCTGATCGCGTAGCGGCTGCGTGCAGCCCGGCACAATGCCGGAGAGACCGAGCTGGGGCCTCGGGCTAAGCGGGAGCAGAGCGCACGCTGAAGAAACGGTTTCTCATCTGTTTATTTTGAATCCTTTCTTTGAATATTAGAGTTTGTTTCTAATGTTCGCAGAAGTCACAGTTAGTCACCTGGGTGTGCAGTGCAGTGGTGGATAATGTCACACTTCGTTACCACATGATCTGAAGGCTTCCTCATGAATCATTCTTAACTCGGTCTCTTTCCTTTGTCTTTCACATAGCAGTTTTACTGAGCAATAAAGCCTAACTCGGTTTGCTCAGTTTAAAGTGGGTTTTGTAGTCTATTACAGAGTTGTGTAACCAGCAGCCCAGCGAGTTAGCACATTTCTGTCCCTTGGCAATCACTGTGCATTGCCTGGGCCACTGCTAGCTCTTCTCCGTGCCTGCGTTCCCCCTCCCCACCCCCTGCCACTCATCCCCCTCATGGGTGTCTGGTGACTGTCTCTTGGTGTTATCTTTTTAGGTTCATGCACGCTGTAGCAGATGCTAGCCCTCCGTTTACGCTACTGGTGCATAACGTCCCACTGGACTTTACTCTCTATCTACCCTTTCATGAGTTGATGGACGTTTCGGTTGTCCTCACTTTTTGGCTATTGTGAACCATGAATAATCAGTGTACAAGTTTTTTTCGAGCATGACTTCGTTTCTCTTGGCCTGTGTCTGGGGCTGCAGGGGTGGCAAGGTGGCCCTGTGGTTACGCGGCTGAGGGGCTGGAAAGTCTGTCCTTCTGCCAGGGTATGTTGCCACCCGCCGAGTGTGAACACTTTGGTCTCTCTGCATCCCTTCCTGCTTCCTGTTGACGAGGTACACTAGTGGGTATGAAAACCCTCATTGTGGCTTTGAACTGTGTTTTCCCAAGGGTTAATGTGGAGCGTATTCCCAGCGCCTGTGCTCCCAGGCTGTTCATATGTTTTCCTTGGAGAAATGTCTGTTCAGATCCTTTGCTCACTGCATAATTGAGTTATTTGTCTTTTTCCCTCCTGTCTTTCAACGTGGCCTGTGCAGGATGCTGACATGCTAGCCGGTGATGAGCAAGTGTGGAAGGAAGTCCGAGAATCACTGAAGAAGATTGAAGAATTGAAGGCAGAGTGGCGTATCCTTTCGCTGCGGCAGAGCCGGACAGTGGCAGGGTTAGACCTCTCCATAAGTCTTCCTCGGTGTCCTGGCCTCAGGCTGCATCTCTGGACCCACCCCGTTGTTGGAAGATTGTTGTAAGATCATCAGGAGAGCCTTGCCACCAGTCGTTAGCGTGGCCTAGTTGTAATAGGAGAGGTGGCAGCAGTTTCTTTATGTGTAAATGGTAACAAACTCCTATATTCCCTTCCTCTCCTATTCACCTTCATTCTCAAGAGCATAGAATCCTTGTGATCTAATAACATGGACACCCGGACCCAGGAGACTGACCGTACAGCAAGAGAATTCCGCACAATAAATTCCCTTAGCATAAATGGTGAGGAACACGGGCGGGTCAAAGTTCAGCACGGGAGCAGCACATGGTGGAGGTCTCTGGAAAGGCCCCTGGTGCTTGGCCATGTTGGTGTGTTGAGTCGGGCCAGCGTCGGCACAGGCCAACACCAGGAGGCCGCTGCCAGGAGAGGGCAGAGTGTGCAGCAGGTGCCATGGTACAAAAGAGACTGCAGGATGGAAAAACAGTAGCCAATGCTCATCAGACCCTGGAGCTAATTGTACTGTAGGCATTAAGAAAATCTACAGTGGGGTAGGGTTTTTGATGATTATGAGGGACAGGGACAGTCGGTAGGTGGATGTTTCCACTTTTAAAGGTAAAGTACATCATTTCACAAATCTGTTCTCCAGTGAGCTAGTTGGCAGTCTGACTTGAGTATATAGAGTTGGTCAACAAGGAACATAAAAGAAAACTGAGCCCCTGGATCCTGTCTAGATCCGCTAAGCAGGTGTGCCAGAGAGCTGTGGGCTTTTTGATAAGGTGTGTACCTAGATTTCACAAAGGAGTTTGAAAAGAGGTGAAGAAGGTTATATTAGGTACCAGCAGACCAGATGTCCTACTGAGTGGTCCGATCGCCACAGTAAGAGAACGAAGCCAGTTAGTCGCTGCCACCATGACTGTCCCCACATCAGGCTGGGTCAGCCTGGGATTCGGCACCTGTAGTGAGAGTCAAAGGCCCAGGCTCATCAAATCCCAGAGGATTGTGAAAAGTGGACAGGACGGCAGAGAGTGTGAATGGAAAGGGGGCAGAGAGTAGACCGGAGACTCACGAACCCAGCAGACTCCTGGGAGTTTGAAGGGTAGCTGAGCTTTAAACCGCATATAAAATTTTCTGTTTCAGTCTAGAAGTTCAGGTCTGTAAATATGCATAAAGCTTAACAGCAGAACATGCGAAGGAATTATTGGGCTGTGATAAGTAGCAAAATGTAATAAGAATATGAAAAACAGTTGTGATCGTGGACTGCAGAGATGTAGATCACAAAATAAGATTAATAGCGCCAGGTGCTGGTGGCTCACGCCTGTCATCCTAGCTACTCAGGAGGCTGAGATCTGAGGATTACGGTTCAAAGCCAGCCTGGGCAGGAAAGTCCATGAGACTCTTATCTCCAATAAACCACCAGAAAACTGGAAGTGGCGCTGTGGCTCAAGTGGTAGAGTGCTCGCCTTGAGCTGAAGAGCTGAGGGACAGCGCCCAGGCCCAGAGTTCAAGCCCCAGGACTGGAGGAAAAAAAAAAAAGATTATCTAGCATGGGATGATCACACATGCAGTGTCCTGTTCACGTTGGGGTGAACACGTTCTGAGCCTACCAGAGTTGGGTGGACTGGAAGAACAGAGAAAACAGCCAACTCTAGGAGCAAGAGGCCCAGGTTCACAGGGCCGTGATGCTGCGGGGGAGTGAACTCCTCTTCTGTGGTCTGTGGACGGAAGTAGGGGCCATGGACAGCCAAGCCATGAGTCACTCTCAGCTGGAGCGGCTTTGCTGAAAACTGACTCCGTGCCAGGCACTTTGCTGACCCTAAGTTACCTTGGGCCGAAATTAGGAGACAGAGCACTGCACTCACAACTCTCACAGTTGTGAGCTAGAAAACACGCGCGTTAGTTCCTGCTGAGGGAAGGTGGCTCTGTCAAGAGGTGCTGTGGGCCTTGAAGAGGCCCTGAGGTCACTGGGAGCTGCCCTCCCTCCAAGGGGATTGTGGGAGCCCGGTCTCCCGGCCTCCCACTGCTTCTGGGGTTGAGCTGTGAGCACTTGCGCGGACCCACGTTCCCGCCGTGCCGTCTGGTGCCTCCCCACACACCACCCCGTGTGGCACCTGACGAGGGACTTGGGCCTTCACAACCATGCGCCAGAACAAACCTGATTTTACTTCACAAGTAGCCTGAGTCTGGCATTTCATTATGGTGGTAAAGCTGACTAATACACATTTGCCAGAGAGAGATATGCTCGCAGGAGCAGCAAACGCACAGCAGTAATTTGGGGGGTTAAGCAGGGAGCAGTGTCAGGCGCCGGTGGCTCACGCTTCTAATCCTAGCTACTCAGGAGGCTGAGTCCTGAGGATCACAGTTCAAAGCCAGACCAGGCAAGAAAGTCCATGAAACTCTTATCTCCAGTGAACCACCAGAAAACCAGAAGTGGTGCTGTGGCTCAAGTGGTAGAGCACTCACCTTGAGCTGAAGAGCTGAGGGACAGCGCCCAGGCCCAGAGTTCAAGACCCACCACCAACTGACCAAAAAATGAAGAGGAAGAGGAGGAGGGGGGGAGAGGAAGGAGCAGCAACTGTGCAGTGTGGGAGGATAGGAGTCAGGCTAACTAACGGTGAGGGAAATCTGTCCTGCAGAGGGAGGGGCTGTGTAAGCAGGAGGCATGCGGTGCAGAGGAAGCGTGCCGGCTGTTTGTAGGAGAGCAGGGGAGCCGAGGCGTGTGCAGACGATCGGGGTTCACTGTGAGAGGACACTGCAGCATGGCGGTCGTCAGGAGAATAATGGGATTAGGTGAACAAGCGCTCTGGTCTGATTCCCAGGCATGCTGGCTCCCTTTTCTCTTTTCCGCCAACCTTGTGGTCATCTGAGCATGCCCAGAGGAAAGGGGTCTGTCCTGGCACCTCTGTGCTCCGTCTCTGGCCCCACACCTGGTGGAGCGCACCCCCTGACTGGCAGCCCGCACTTCACAGGTGCCAGGGACTAAATTCTGAGCAAACACACATTGGCATTCACGTGGGGGAAAGCCTCTTGGTGAACTTCATTCCATTTCTTTGCTCACTGGGGTGTTGTTCAGGAAGGCCGGCGTCATGCTCTCCAGCTCGTGGGGGGTTGCGGTGGGCGAGTTCTGAGCCTGGCTGCGGAGTGTCACCTCTGGTCTCAGTGCTAAGGCTTGTCACCTGGCTGCAGAGTGTCACCTCTGATCTCAGGGCCAAGGCTTGTCACCTCAGACCGCTTTCCAAGGAGTGCGAACACCTGCAATGAAAGACAGGTAGCGCGCAGCCCGATACCAGCGTGAGGCGGCATCTGCGCGGGAGTGGCTGGTGCTGTGCAGCGGCAGCCACTCCCAACGGACCGTTCGTCAGGTCTAATCCTGCGGTGAAGCTACCGAGGTTAGCCGGCAGTCTCTTCCAGAATCAGTGTCCTGCCTGGGAAACGGCCCCTGCAGCCTCTGGGGACACGCTCGGCCACGTGGACACCTCGCCTGACGGACACGGAGGCTCCTCGCACTCTGACTGTTCTCTGCACACAGCCCTTCGCCTCCGTAGGACTGTGGTGCTTGGGGCTCCCAGCGTGGTGTGCGGGGCATGGGGCCTGTGGGAGGCCGCGCATGATTCCACAGCCAGCGACGCCCGGCGGGCAGGGAGGCCGGCACCGGGTCTGCGTCGCTCTTCTCTGTACCCATGACTGAGGGCTTCCCCCACCCCCACGACCCTCAGAGCACTGCCGCGATCACGACCCCTCGCAGACACCCCTCATTCCACTCACCGCAACCCGCAGCGTGTCCAAGCACCTTGACCACACAGCTGGTGGAGGGAGCCAGCATCATCCGCCCTCAGACTATGCCACGGCTGCTGCAGCTGAAATGTTCAGACACTTCCCCGGTTGCACCCAGACGGGGCCGCGCCACCCTGGCCGGTGTGGAGCGAGGCTGGTTCCCAGCCAGCCTCCCCTCGGCCTCCATAGAGTGGGAGGTGTGTGTGCCCATGCAGTCCACCGGGGCTGGACGCCAGCGCCTCCTGCGGCAGCCTCCCCCCTCTGACAGTCGGCCTCGGTGAAACAGGGAATGCTGGATGTGTTGGTGCACCTATCACCAGAGAGAGAGCGAGCGAGAGCGCACACAGGTGCTGAGGGCGGGCTCTGGGCCCCTCGCCCTTCTCTTTGTTCACAGTTTGTCCTCATAAGACATAGTTTTGGATTGGGGTTTGCTTCACTTGCGCTTAATAATTTTTTAAAAACAAACACAAATCCATGCAGCAGCAGCTGCTCTGGTGCCGGCGGTGGGTTGTGTGTGTTTGGATGCGTGTGTGCCCGAGACTCGAGCACCATGGAGACGAAGGGGAGGCCTCTCCTGTGCCATGGAAGCCTCCGGAGCCGCCCTCGTCCAGCGTCACATGGGGCGCAGATGCTGACAAGAGGAGATCACGTTAAACCGAACAAGATCGTTTGTCCTAGAAGTTGAATGAACAGCCTCCTTCACTTCATGGCCAGGCTCAAGGAGAATGTGTGCCGCAAGCGCGGTTCTTTGGGAAGGTTGAGCCCAGAGCACAGGCCTGGATGGAGATGGTTTGTTGATGTCAACAGAATTTACCTCGCCAGGCCGCCGCTTAAACGTGCCTTTGTTTCCCAAGTGTTTTCCGGGGCGCGTGCACGCGGCGGCGCGGGCTCCCCTCCCGGCGGGAGGTCGTCAGCCTCCACAGAACCTCATTTTACTTTAGCTTTTCCTCGGTGGAGACAGTCCTTAACGAAGGGTAACGCAGAGTGGGAGCAGGTTCTGGCCCTGTGCCAGGCGAGCATAAGCAGCAACTCTGAGCGGCTCCCGGACCTCAACATCTACCAGCTCAAGGTGCTGGACTGCGCCATGGACGCCTGCATCCACCTGGGGCTCCTGGAGGAGGCGCTCTTCTACGGCATGCGCACCATGGAGCCCTACCGGTGAGTGCAGCCCCGCCACGGGCGGACGGGGCTGGGGGGGAGCCCTACCGGTGAGTGCAGCCCCACCGCGGGCGGGCGGGGGGGGGACGGGGCTGGGGGGAGCCCTACCGGTGAGTGCAGCCCCACCGTGGGTGGGCGGGGGGGGGACGGGGCTGGGGGAGGGCGCAGGCGTGTGGCCTGAGAGCCAGCCTGACCCTTCACCCACGTGTGCATCTGTCACCAGTCCCAAAGCTCTTCCCGTGGATCGCCACCGTGGGTGGGCACTGGCTGTGCATTGGTTTGTGCTGTGGGTGTGCACCGTGGCTGTACACATGGCCGCCTGTGACCCTGGAGCCTGCTCAGAGCCTCATCCAAGCAAGCTGTCGAGGGTTCTCTTCCCTCCTTTCCCTTCCATTTCCTCCACTCCCCTTCCCCATCTCTGTTCTCCCTCTTCTTTCTTCGCCTCTTCCGCCCCCTTTACCCCTCTTCTCTTCCCTTCCCTCTTGGTTTTCTTGCCTCTCTTTCTGCCTCTTCTTTTGAGGCAGGGTCTTACTCCTTGGCCAGGCCGAGTGGGGTCCTGTGCCTCACGTGTCTGTCAGCCTCCACGTGCGGATACAGGTGTACATGGGCAGTGGTGCCGTGTGCAGGCCTGGCCCCAGCTCTTCCGGGCTGCTGGGGATGTTGCTCCTAGACATTCTGGGAACTCAGGAGCTTGAGCAGAGGGCAGTGTTGAGGCGGAGTGCCGCCAGCCTGGCGCTGTGGAGGTTGGAAGAACATAGCTGTAGGAGTTGGAAGGAAGGAGTGGCACGGAGACAGAGGAGCTGTGCGTGCGGCTGGTCTCCCCGCCTCCATCATGGTGCCTGGGAAGCGCTTGGGCATGGAGGGGCTGTTCTCAGAGAGATGGCCGCCATCCTGAGGAGAGCTGGGCCCCTAGCTCAGCTGTCGTGGACAGCCTGTCCGCCCAGCAGGTGCGCAGGGGCAGCCCAGTCCAGACATGCGCAGCCAGCCTGGACGGACCCGCACGCAGAAGCGTCCAGCAGAGCAGGGGTGCCAGGTAGGCGGAGCCCAGGCTGCTCCCACCTCCTGGAGGAGGAGTTTCTCGAGGCTGGGGGGCATGCCCCCAGGACCAGCGGCAGCAGAGGTGGCCTGTGGGCTGGAGCAGGCCCGCCGTGAGCGTGGTGCAGGCAAAGGGTGCGAGGGCGTGGCCAGGAGCAGTGGCGCGGCGTGCCCTTGCGTGTGTTCAGGCTTCGTGGGCAGCGGCTGCGTCAGCTGTGGTGGAATCCGCAGTTCTGGGATTCAGCTTGTGAGTCAGCTTGATCAGATGCCCAGCAGGGGCCTCGGGGTCAGACCGGAGACTTTCCAGTGAGCAGAGAAAGACGTGCTCAGTGTGGCCTGTTCTCCACGCAGATGGGCCAGGTCCCCAGAGCCGGGGTGTCACCAGGAGAGATGGCGGGGAGCACCAGGCTGGCACGCAGGAGGGCACCCTGCAGACTGGACGCGTAATGGACGCCAGCCAGCGGCTGCAGGTGGAGAGAATCCTCCATCCTGCTGGTTGCCAGCCTCCCATTCCTGGCTGGTGCGCCCCGCAGCCTCCCTGCCCGCCTCCCCTCCCACCCGGGACACCCTGCCAGGCTGCGCCCACGCTCGGCCGTGCAGTAAGGATGCCAGCCTGCCAGGACTCCAGGAGCGTGCTCCTTTGTGGCCGGCAGCGTGGCTGGTTTCCGCTCCTGCATGCTTGGTGTTCGCAGGTCCCATCCAGTCCTCACCCTGACGCCACATCCCAGACCTCCCTCGGTTCCTCTTCCTGCTGCAGAGTGCTCTGCAGCGCGCTCCCGCCTGCTCTGACTTGTAGGAGAAACGGCCATTGTGATCCAACCGCTAGGAGCAGCCAGGCGCGTCTCTCTGGAAGCAGGGGCTGCGTCCGCGTGGGTCAGGTGCCTGCAGGTCTCTTAACAGTCTCGGGGAGGAGGCGCGGTGTGGAAGCTGGCTGGGTGCCCATCCCCTGTGGGTGAGTGGGGAGCACACCGTGCCTGCTGCCTGCTGCCTGCACGCCGCCCTGGGCCACGCGGGCTGGGCTCATCTTCAGCCAGGGACGTAGGTGGTCCGCTCGGCCTGCATTTGCCATCGCTGCTTTCCAGGGTGAGTATGCTGCTCACCACGCCCAGGCCCAGGCCTCAGCTCCCGGGAGTGCGCCACCCCTCCCCCCCCCAGGCCGCACGGTCCCTGCTCGCCGTGGAGGACGCCCTCTTCCTACCGTTCTGTCGTCCAGTTTCACTCAGTAGGTTTTCCCGTTTTAGGATGCGATATAATACTATTGCTTTCACAAAGCAGGTTAGAAATGGGTTCGTCAAACGTCTGATCATTACTAGTACCTCCTGAGAGGGTCTGTGTGCAAATCCACAATTCTGCTCACGGCGCATGCCCTTTACCAACCTGAAGATAGTTCAGAGAGAACTCGAGACACATCTCAATTCTAAAATGAGTCAGGTGCCAACAGCTAGTTGTCAATTGTTTTTTCTTAGAATTTGGGGTGCGCTTTCCTCCTGGAGATAGTGCCACAAAGCATGGGAAGCCTGGCATGGCCAGAGCTCCACCCCCCTGCATCTCACCAAGAATGTAGAGAATGAGGTGGGGCAGGGCAGGAATTGGACACAGGTTATCTTTAAATTATGTGGCACATTAACTTAAATGAGAATTAAGTTTGATTCTTTTTAGAGTGTGATAGATGCAGAATCCTTTTGGATCTTAAGGTGACTCTCAGGACACGCTGTTACTTTAGACAGTCCCACCCCCTCTCCCGGGTGCCCCCCCTCCCGGGTACCCTCCCCTCACCTCCCCACGACCAGAAGGCCGCCTAGGCTGCACAGGAGACCGTCACTGCTCGTTAGCACCAGCTTGGACCAGGTGCTTCTAACAGTGGCCGGTGAGGCCCGTTCCAGATCCAGACTCCCGCAGAGACAAAGATCACCCTCACCTCCAAATACTTGTCCCATGACCCAAAGATCACCAAGGTGAGAGACCGCTTTCCTGAAATTTCCTTTGCTGTGAGTGGCCACTCTGCACACACCCCAGCGCCGCTCCTGACTCAGCCTCTTCCTAGAGTCTGCGAGAAGTGAGCGCGGGCGGGCCGGGGCTGCCAGCGCCGCTCACTGCTCACCTCGGGCGGGCCGGGGCTGCCAGCGCCGCTCACCGCTCACCGCGGGCGGGCCGGGGCTGCCAGCGCCGCTCACGCGCACCACTTGCTTCTGGTCAAGCCCATGACAGTATTTTCTCAGCGACTCCTTTCCCTCCTCCTTTCCCCTTCCACAGCTCCTGCGGCTCTTCCGCTTAGCCCCCCTTCCCCCTCCACAGAGTTCTTGGGAGGCTCAGCCCATCCAGCAGTTACACTTACCTAGCATGGTGAAAAATGGGGGGCAGAGAGGAGCCAAGATTTCTCCTTAATAGTCACAAAGAAGGGAAGTGGGGATCCTTCTCTAGCCTGTGGTTTGTACTTTTTTCACTTTTCAGTGGAGTAGAAGCACCTGTCAGCTCCTCAGCACCAGCCTCTTACTCTTTTTTTTTTTTTTTTGCCAGTCCTGGGGCTTGACCTCTGGGCCTGGACGCTGTCCCTGAGCCTCTTTGTGCTCAAAGCCAGCACTCCATCACTTGATCCACAGCACCACATCTGGCTGTTCTCTATGTATGTGGTGCTGAGGAATGGAACCCAGGGCTTCATGCATGCAAGGCAAACACTACCACTGAGCCACCTTCCCAGCCCCAGGCTCTTAATCTTAACTGGAATGTATTTGAGCTCATGAATACACCATAAACTTGAGATCTATCCCCGTGTCTTCCGCCATTCATCAGTGATGTCTGACAATGCTGTGATTAACGTCTCTGTACTTGATTCTCTGTGTACGGATGCAGTTGGATCCATAAAGTCCTTATGACACATGTCTAAATGCCAGCTTGCTACATCATAAGGTTTGCTTGTTTTTCACTGTGGTGTGTTACATTGTACTTAGGATTTCCTCATGACATTTCCACTCATGTATATGATGCATTTTGATTGCACTCACTCTCTGTATTACTCTTATCCCTTACTCCTCTAGCCCTCCTGCTTCCTTAGCAATCCTCCTTTTACTTTCATGACATTCTTTTTATTTTGTTTCCTCCTAGCTCTGGCAAATGATAGAACACATGTGCTACTTGGCTTATTTCAAGCAGCGCAGTGATCTCCAGTCCTGCCCATTTCCCAGTAAACAATATAATTTCATCCCCTTTAATGACTAGGTAAAATCCCTTTGTATACATTATGCCATGTTTTCTTTATCCATCTGTCCATTGATGGCTACCTAGGCTGGTTCCATAATTCAGCTCTTGTGAATAATGCTGAGATAAATGTGGGTGTGCACGTATCCCTGCGGTAAGCTTTATAGTACAAACCAAAAGTGGTATAGATGGATTATATGGGAGTTCTGTTTTCAGTTTTTAAGGAGCTCCTTATTGCTTTCTGTAGAGCCACGGTGAGGGAGCTGATGGTCCCTCCCACCAGCAGGGGCCAGAGCGCCTTTCACTCCACCTTCTCCCCTGCGTTCTTATTGTCACTTTCTGCGTAGTAGCCATTCTGACTGGAGTTATTTGCATTTCCTTCATGGCTAAGGATGTTGACTTTTTTTGCATATATTTATTGGCCATTTGTACTTTTTTCATTTTTTTCATTTTTACTTCTTGATTTGAAATGTATCTGTTCGATTCCTTTGTACATTTGTTGATTGGATTTTATTTGGGCATTTTGTGTCTTGAGATCTTTAGATATTAATCATCTGACAGATGACTATTTGGAGAAAATACAGCCTATTCTGTAGGCTGTCTTTTCAATTTGATGCAATCCTTTTATCAGTCCTCGCTCTTATTGCCTGAGCTATTGGGGTCCTTTTCAGAAAGCTTCTACCCCTATATACTGAAATGTTCCTCTTAAGTTTTCACCTAGTAGCTACAAATTCTCAAGCCTTACATGAAGTTTCTCATCCATTTTGAGT